CCCAAATTTAAAAGGAATGGAGAACACCGAAGGTCCATCCTATCCAACAACCCACTCAAATGCGCGTCACTGGTTCCCACTCGTGATTGCCAATCAATCTGTCAGCCTCCTGCAACCTAGCCCTGTCCAGACATGTTGCACTACAACTGCAAGTGTGCCCAGCTGAGTGGGGGGCAGTGAGAGTTTAGTCCAACGTGTCTGGAGGTTACGCAGTTCAGGGAGGTCAATCTGTGTAGCTCAGAACATGAGAGAAGCGAGTGAGCTGCAGAAAGACACCTGTACAGGAAATTACTCTGAGTAGCTCCAGGACTAGGAGTGAATTTGGAAGAATGCTCATGGAGAGACAGCTCTGCTTCAGAGAGTGGGTGCACGAGCCTGGAGTGGCATTGCTCATGCGTTGCTTGCCTGAGAAACGAAGCTGAAGGCACTGCTGGAAGTGTGACTGAGGTCTGGCCCCGAGGAGGCAGGAGGGCAGAGGAGAGGCTTGCAGGCTATGGCTGCATCCTGAGATCAGCAGGCGGCAGGGAGGACAGGACTGCCAAACACAGGCAGAAGCTTGGAGAAGGGGACCTTCTGAGCACCACCTCTTTGGGGCAGCACTGGACCTAGTGGCCCAGAGATGGAGGGCATGGGGAAAGAGCTGCCCATGGACTTGGGTCATTGGTGGACCTTCTTATACCCTTAACAAACACCCCCCACAGATGCACCATTCTGGAGCAAGGCACTCCAAAGTCTGCAGGGAGGGAGTGGGGGCAGCTAGCACAGGCAGAGCCAACGAGTTATGAAAAGTAGAATCCTGCACCTCATACAAATGATGCAAATGGAGCAAGCTGATCTAACTGTTTGTGTTTTAATTGTCTCTTCTGGTTTTGCTGGTAGGCAGGAGCAAGGCTACTGAAGCCCTGCCTCTAGCTGCCAAAAGTCGTAGCTACCCTTCTGATTTCTGAGACTCCTAGCAGACGACACCAATACACTTCAATGTATCTTCAGAACCATGAGTACTAAAGTCTGCTCATTTTTAAAAAAAGGAGAGGGGGAAAGAATCTGAAGTTCATGATAAACTGAAATTTGCACCCAGTTTCACATTCTGTGCTTTTTCTTTGCTCGTATACACACAGCCCTGAGCATGGATAAGCTTCCTGATGCAGAAGCTGGACAGCTTCACATCCAGCCATACAAGAAAGATACTCCCTCATGCGAGTCACATCTGAGACTGTGGACACTCCCGCAAAATGCCTACTCAGCAGATCACCACTATGGCACCTACCTGTTCCATGGCTGCATCTCATCTAGCCTAAAAGTTTGTTTCACCTCTATTGGACACTGCAACATCTCTTCCTCAAGGATTGTCCAATGCAGCTACTTGTTAGCATTGCAATTCTTCTTTTAAACACTATGCTTCTTTTAAGCATGTTTTGGCAATGTACATTAGCTGCTTCTGTTTGCAGGGAAGGTATCACACAGGTAAATTTTATACTAGAACTGTCTTAATACTCACTTTTGCATATATACTTTTAAATTATTTACCTGCTTCAGTGAAATTAACAAATGGAAGGGAAATTGATTCTCTCTACACTTCTGACAGCTAGATGGTGATATTACAAAACTGGAAGGATAAATACTCTTTTCCTATAATGCAATGGTCTGAGGTCTTGGAATGTTTTTGACATATGAATAGCCAACCTTGTTTAACTATTTGGTTTGCTGTTCTCGTTCAGAGCAAACAAAAGCCTATACAGAAGCCTATGCAGGATCGTTTGAAATTTCTATCCATTTCATGCAAATACATGCTCATATCTTAGAAAACAGGGAAGAACTTGTTTAAAGAATAAAAAACAGGAAGCCCATAGGCCATCAAGTTGGAGGCCTTCACAAACACCACCAAGGGTTCCTGCAGATTCTACAAGCAGCATGTGGGGAAATCAGATTTCAGTAAGGCAGAGATGCTACAGATCAACTAAGCAGTTTTTTCTTCATTTGCCAGCAAAAATTTTCTGAGCCACTCTGCGACATAGGTGGTTACGGGGCTAAAAAACTTCACCTTCTGATTAAGGCAGCATTTTCTTCAGAATGGGCAATCTTTTTAAAGAAGTGTGCTGTATTTCTTTGGGCCTCATGCCCAGCCAGACCTGGAGACTGTGGCTTGGAGTCACTTATAGATTTGGGACAGGTCAGTGGCAATGTTCACTTTAGAGCTGGCTCTTCCTGGTGTCTTGTCAATTCATACAGACAAATGAAGCAGGAAAGAAATTACTGTCAAGCCTGAGATGTTCCTTAAGTGCTCAGTTAAGCAGCAAGCTTATCTGCTTGGACAGAAGAGCATTATGACTGGGGGGACAAGTTCTTGGGACACTGCTGTTTCCTGGAAGGTGACTCATCAGCCTGCTCTCATGGAAACCACACAGCCAGTTTCTAATAGAAAGATGGGTGCACACTGCCACATTTCTGCACAGGATGATTTTGTCAGTCCTGCCCAGAAGAAAAGACGGAAGCCTGTGAAGAGGTTAAATTGGTGCTCTCAATTCCATTGTGAATTAAATTTAAAGGATTTAAATTAAAGAGATAGTTTTTAAAGTCTTCCAGAACTCAAATCTGAAGCATGAGAACATAGAGAACAAGATTGTGCCCCCTTCTACTCTGCATACAAAAATTAACTTGAAAGGCATGTCGAATCTTTCTGTATTGCTGGTGATGGGGCAGAATCCTCCACTACATCAGAAAGCAGAAGGGTACCTTCAGGAGCACAGGGCAGGCTGCTTGGCACAGTTTTTCATCCAGTGTTTTGCTGCTTCCTCCCAGCATCTGCCTCCTGAAGTCACCACTCCTCTCTGCCCAATGGTGGGGACAGGTCTGGTGCACACACACTACAGTTATAGCTTCCTGCATGTCACGGTAGTTTTCCTTCTAGTTTCCCTCTCGTCAGACAGTGGCACCAGCAGAGCACAGGAGAGGGAGGCAGGAAGTGTCCTGATTCTGTACCACAGTCAAGTCCATTGGCCTTCCAAGGAATGCTATAAACAGCCTTCCTACACTTACAGTGTGTCTGCTCACAGCATTTTTTCCCTGAGCTTGGCCAGGATCTGCCAAGGACACTCAGATCCATCTTTCCTCTTACAACCTCAGTTTGCAGGATTTGGTGCCTTTGTATCTCTTGGAAATAACGTCCTTGTACACTCTTTCTGACAGATGCCACACCTTCCAGGGAACCAGAACCATCTCAAAAACAGTTTCTGCTTTACCTCTTTAGTGTTGCACAGCACTGATTCTATTGTCAAGAACTACTAACTCTTCAAGTGGCACTGTGGTGGTGTTAGCAATATGTGTCGTTATATTTACAGATGTCCCCTTTTCTCTTTCCAAGAAAAGAACAAGGTCATGCAATATCATACCGAGCTGCGGCACACACGACAACATCTTATACCCAAATGAATAGCTGGGCCAGTTGTCAATGATATGATGCTCCTCTGGAGGTTTGATAGTGTAACTTGAAGTTGTCCAAAGCCTACTGCACACCGCTGCACATTCATTTCCACATTCTTCAGAAATTTACATGGGCAAGCCGTGCATGACAGTATCTTGCCCCCCAACCTAGTATTAGTCCAGACATGATTCTACGGCATCCTGTAGAAGCCCCTTTCCTGGAGATTTGGATAAATATCTGGGCTGGGCCTAAGTTCATATATATGGGCAACAGTGGCATGGGCCTTTTGTGTTTCATAGTGTCTTGCACCCAACAAAGCACTCTGACTAAGATGATGGTTTATCAACTTGCAGAGGATGCCCCAGTGGAAGTTTGGCTTGACAATGTTCAGCACCCAGACAAAACCTTGTGGGTGAACGGAGTAATTCTGTGGCAACACAGAGAGGACACTGTACTGGAGACAGGAGTGACCCACAAAAAAACCTTCTGGGCCTTGCATTCCACCCTTTCTAGTGTTTCTTTTTCTCCCCATGGCGTAGCAGGGCTAGTTCTGGGTAAGATTTACATAAGCTATGATTATAGGCAAAGCAACACGGTTGCTGCAGACCTAGCACCTTTTTCCACCTCTTCAGTTGTAAGACTTGTTAAGAAATATTGCATTCACCATAATTCATCACTTATGGCAAGAATTGTTTGCCAGGCTCAAGAACTAAAAGACAGTTACACATCTGCTAGGTTTCTGACCCATTGCCTTCTAGGATCCAATATTAACAAAAATTTAGCATGGTAAGTCTAATTCACCAAATTTCCAATTGTTATGTCAGAGTGGATGAGGTTTGACTGAGTGGCTCTACCAGTACTCCTACTGCCTATGGTACAGGGTTTATGTGATAAGGTATTTATACTTCCCTGGTGCTACGGGTTCTCACAAGAAGCCTGTTAGGCAGAGAAAGACTGACTGGCCCATACTGAGCTTGTGGCTGGGTGTGGATTTGAACTCAGGTTTCCTGGATCTTAGTCCAACAAACTAATAGTCCTTTGGCACTCTGTTTTTATTACACTGGTGACAACTATGCATCTCAAACTATGGCTGCTCATGCAGAATTGCAAGGTTTACTTGTGAACATGTGAATGCAACTACAGCTACCTTGCATTCTTTCATCATTTAATTCCTCTCTGCTTTTGTGTCCACACCCATACTACTGTGTACCCTCAATTGTTAATTTTAATCGTCAATTCTACCATGGCAAGGTGTAACATACATGTATATGCAGTTTGTTCCAAACACAAAATGGTGGATTGTCTGGTTTCCAAGACTTGCAGGACACAAAGTTCATGGCTGAGCTAGCTAGGGCATGAAGCTATAATTTTGTACAGCCTGGCCTGATCCTTTGCTCACTAGCATGCATATAAAGTGGGGAAGGAAGGAGAGCTAATGCCTCATTTTCAGTAGGAAAAACAGGGGCACGTACATAACAATGCCATCCTATTTCTGTTTCCAGGGGACCAAGGGCTACTCCAATTCAAAGTTAACAAATGAAAAGGACAAGAAGCAAGGAAAAGGCAGGACTACAAAGAATCATCTGAAGCCACTGACAATGTTTTTACAGCTTGATTACATTTCAGAGATTGCTGCACCACAATTCACATACAGAAAAGGAGAGAGTTAAAATGCCATGAAACTTCCATGGCAGTAGAGTCCAGCTCTAAGTCATTTCAGGAGCAAAGGCCAGCCAAAAGTTAAAACAGGTGCCTCTTGCAACCTCAACTGGCTAGCTATGCTGACCACACAGATGGGCACGGACAGATCTCTGAGCACTTCACAGACCTGCTGCATACACCCCCTGCCCCATAGAACAGCCTGTCTCTGCAGCGTGCACGGCAGAGTCTGAAACACTCCTTGGTGTGCACATGGGCAGCATCCAAACAAACCCAGGGAGCAGCTCTTTCCGTGTACAGTGCCCTTGTGCAGCCTGCAATGGTATCACCTCATGCGCTCCCTTACCCTGGTAATTCAAAACTTGGTCCAGGATCCATGAGATGTCCCAAGAAAAGGGGACAGAAATACCCCAGCAGGAGTTTCTTGACCTCTCAGAAACGTACGGAGTGTCTTCCCTCCTCACAGACATACATATTTTAATCCATTTTCTATCATATCCACCTCTCTGTGAGACAGTTTGAGATAGTCCTCTTCTGAAGAGAACACAGAAGAGCCATCAGATGCGATGAGGCTTCCCGGGTCAGAGTGACAGCACAGAGGAGAACACAGCAGCACCTGCCAGAAAAAGAGACAAAACATTGTGAGCCACGGGGAGTGTGCAGCCAGTGAGCCTCCCTCTCTGAAAGAGCTCCACTACCCCAGGCAGAACCCACATCTTTTCTCCCAGGTGTTATAGAGGCCTAGTTCTAGATTTTAGGGCTGTTTTATTGAAGCTTGTTTTGCATTATATTATGTTTCATTCTCTACATATCTGTATTGTATGTTACGTTTTCAACTTTCTTCTATGGTGTTTAGTTTGTAATTTATCCCATGCACTTCCGTTATTGGGCAAATTATTAATTACATGTTCCAAGATTATATTCCACATTCTGGGAACAGGGAGATGCCTGTGGCAAAACCAGCAGAGCAACTGGAAAGAAAGCCAGGGGCTTGGAGGATTTGTATCCACATCCTATACCAATTACTATGGAAAATCACACAAGGATGTTAGTGTGCTTTTGATGCCCTTGCAGAAATAAAAGCACACTCTATAGATAAAACCTCAACCAATTTTTGCTCATGGGCTATACCAGCATGCGATGAAAGAAAGGATGGGTGCCCAGGCCTTTTATACTGAAGATAAAAACAGGCAGAACACATATCCACTTGGTATTCTGGGTGAACGCAGATAAACTTGCAGTGCAAAGGCAGCTATGGACGCACACTGCCACAGATGGCAATATGCAGATGCACATGAACCAAACCAAGCACCTGGAGAGGGACGTGCCCAGGGGCACTTTCACACATGTAGGTTCACAGGCATCTACAGGCACAGGGGATATGGACACAGAGACACAGAGCCAAGGCTCAGCAGGTAGAACAGCGGGACCTTACTCTTGGGGCTACTCTGGCCATCAGGTTCAGGCACCTTCCAGTCCATCTTCCTCCCTTTCTCATACAGGCCCTTCAGCACCTTGCGGAATTCCTCGGGCTCCAAGCCGCCATGGTTCAGCTCCATGTACTTCCTGTACAGCTGGAGGGCTGTTCGTGCATCTTCAATGCTGTCGTGTGTCTCTCCCTGGATCTTCAGGTCTACAGGAAACAGAAAGGGTTTCAATCTGCGGCAAACATTGCCCTGCCTTGGTCAGCTGCTGCAGGAAAGAAGGAACAGCTCTACCCCAACGCAATCCTGCCGCATCGAAGGAATGCAGCCTCATCAGACAATCCCACCCTGCCAATCCTGCCATGAGCCCTGTCGTGAGATCCTCCCTGCCTGGGGCCCTGCCAGTGTTCCCCAGCTCAGCACATCTGCATTTTCAGCTACTGCAATGGGCCTGGGGAGTCACTGGGGTACAAAGATGTTTTGAACCTTGTGATGCAAAGTGAATTGCACCTGAGGAAATCTTTGGCAGCTACATCATTCTTTAATGCAGGGAGGCCTGGCTGACCAGGAGACAGTTTTTGCTTAACTCTGACTGAAGAATATCTGTACTGACCTAGAAAATACCAGGCAAGGAAGCGCAGTGAGATCATCCTCTTCCTGGGCATGTGGAACAGGTATACTGTGTCAATGACTTGGTCCCGAGGAACCTGCAGAGAAAGGAGTGATGTAGCTCTGAGTTCTTTGGAGCATAGAAGCACATGGTCCCAAGGACTCTACATCTGTCTAGTGGGGTGAATTCCTTGGATGCAGCAGGACTGTGTTGGGGTAGAGCTGTTCCTACTTTCTTCAGTGGGTTATCTTTGCCTTACAGAAGTTCAATGACAGAAGAGAGCTCCTGCTGCTACTCATAGTAAACACTGCTCTGGACTTCTAAGGTGGGAGAAGAGAAATGCTATGGTACTTTTTGATACCAATTTACTTATTTTAGCATTAGAGTTCAGGGTCAACTATCTACTTGAGTGGTTTTCAAACTTTATGCCTTTGAGGAAGCCTTTCCACATGGCCCTGTTTGAAAAGGACCCCAGCACAAACAGTTCATGTAGGGCACCATCTATTTTGTCTTTCATAAAAGTAGCTGGTAAAAATAAAGGCAATTATTACTTGGTATTTTATTTTTATTTTTAAGTAACACTGTATTGTATAGAAGGCAGGATAGAAATATATTAAATAAATATATATTGGCAAACTGCAAATTATAAATAAAATTGTATAAATGCACATAGATTTATACAATACAAGTGCACTGTACATTTTTATAAATACATTAGTCTTCAGATAAGCTGGGAGGATAACAGGAAGCTTAAATGTATTTTTATTACTGGAGCAAATCTATAGCTCATACAAACTCTCTCCATATCCTACAGTCCTATTGCTCCTATAGGTTACACTGCCACCTTACTCTTGAAAAGCACCCATAAATATAGCCTACATATACCGGAACATTCACAAACATCACTGCCGTAGCTGAGACCCTCCCTCCCTGCCACTTCTCCCACAGACATTTTATCATTCAGCGTCTCCGCTCACAACCAGCTGCACTCCTGTATGTTGTCCCCTCTTTTATGCCAGCACACAGGCACAAACCAGCCCACACTTCTACCCAAGGGCCAATTCTGCACAGTGGCTTCTTTCCCCCACTGATGAGCTGCTCAGGCACTGTGTGATTTGCCTAGTTCCTTTCACGACATGCAGGTTGTTGGGTTGCCCAAAGTTGGCAGAGGGGTGGCTTCCAAACCACTCCAGGACCCATGGCTTCTCATGAGGTTTTGGCATGTTTCAGAAGCCCCAAGCTCCCTGCTGGGTTTGTACAACACAGCAGCTGAAATACTGCAAGGATAGTTGGGCAAACTGGGGGACATGCAACCAGCTCATGTGGGAACAGGAAAAGGGGGCCACCATGGTCTCTTTTCCACAGGCAAACCTGGTCCATGAAAGCAGTCAGCTTGAAGAGGAGAGACAGATGCCAGAATTTTAAAAAGAGGCAGTCACCATGATGTTGATGACCCTGAAGTCTTTTTGCAGTCCATGGCCCACAAATTTGACCCCCACATCAATGAGGAAGCGTAGCTTCAGGTAGGTGGACTTGAGGGTGGTGAGGTGTTTGGAAGAGATTTTGGCATCCAGATCACCTGGCTTTATTCCCGAGTACTGAGTGAGGTAATCTACCACCTATAGGAATAAAGAAAAAATAGTCACAAAGTGGTGAAGTGGAAAGAAGCATTTGATTTAATGTGAATGTACATTTGACGCAGGGGAAGGAGGGCCTCCTGCAGTGCCAACTCCTCCCAGCCACATGAATGGACAGGACTTCTGGGGGTGGGCATCCCTTTTACACTGGAAACATGTGCTACTAGCGTATTAGAAAAACAGTTAACTGAACATAAACACTAAGGGTTTAAAATGGCAAGATACCATGTTCCTAGGTAAACCAGGAGAGGTAAGAACCCTCCAAGAGGAGGAGAAGTAGATTAAAGGACATCTCTCAGATTTAAGCACTGAGACAACACATCCACCCTTCCAATGAGGCAATGTAGGAGCCAGTCGGGGGGGACCAGATGTGGTGGTCTTGCCCTCTACAATTGAGCTTGAAAGGAATCTCCTCCCCACAGGCAGGAGTCTGCAAGCTCTGGATAAACTGCTGGAGAGCTCCACTCTTCTGTGCATTCCCCTGCTGGCTCTTGGCTAGCTAACATGAGGTCCTGAGTTACAACTACATTTACTGCTCTGCATGATCCTGAGAGAGGTGAGGAAAGAAGCTTGATAAAAGCATGTGCAAAAAGGAAAGCTGCGTGAACTCGGAGAGCCTTAGCACAGTCCTCCTACTCAGTGAAGGAAGGGCCCACACTGGGAGAGAATCCTCCCAGCAAAGAGGAAGAAGCCTCTAACAAGTCCTGTCTAGGGAAGTCAGTGGGATTAGTGACCCATCTCAGGATGCCATCCTTGACCAAGTAAGAAAGCAACTTCCTACTTGTGGACTCCGATTTTTGAGAATGACAAGCAGATACACTGGCTGCCACTGAGCAGGCGCTATGCAAAAAATCACATTGGGAGCTGAAGCTTCCCTGCATGATCAGTGGATTAGCTTTATCTGCACAGCAACTGGGAGGGGCATCCTGGACTCCTGGAACTACCAAGGAAGAGAAATTTCAGCTGCCACACTGTTCATTCCAGAGGACCACTCATATAAGCAGTCTGTTCTGCACAGGAGGTGGACCAGAGCCAGCAGAGATGGCTGAGATGGATGTAGCTACAGGTCCTTGCTTGGCCATGGAGCCCAAATTCAGCTCTCCAAAAAGGACAGACAAGGAAGATTAATAACTCACCCTGAGAATTCTGAAACATGAGGGAAAGAAATCTAAATGCAATCCATACAATCAGCAAAGTTGGGATTCTTTTTGTCTAGTCACTATTCCCCCACCTCACCTCTTTCCAGCCAATCAGGGGTCTAAAGGATTAAAAGAGCTTCCAGTTAACCCATCCCTTGCCAACCAAGCTTGTAGGGGTACAGTGTTGAACTTCAAACAGAGCTACTGCCATGTGGAAAGAAAGAACATCATTTCCTACCATATGAAACTCCCTGTTTAGGTGAGAACTGGGGATCCATTTGTCTAAAGCCTACTCAACATGGGGCACAAGCCTGACTTTTCCAGCCTTTCACAGAGATCATTGCCTACCTGTTCTTGTGTGGAAATGTAATCATCGATGAAAGGAACACCTTCATTGGGACCCTGGCCCCTAACACAAGTGATCCTGGCCACTGACATCTGACTGGGCTTGATGGTGGATTTTGTTCCATCACTGCGCAGCTCTGCCTCCTCCTGTGGCAGATTTTGACGGGATAAACAAATAGGCTCTGTGGTCAAACAGACCATTTCTAAAGACAATCCAAGTTCAAAAATCTCCTCCCACCCAGTGCAGTGCCTACCTCATTGAGAGTGACAAACTCAGCATCCAGTCCCACCAGGTCTCCAACCTGAGGCATCTCACTCAGCATCAGTGGGATGAAAGTGGCATGACATTTGCGCTGCTTACGGGCGAGAGAGGCCTCAGCGAGCAACACACTGGCTTCTATAGGGTTCTTAACTTGAAGGTGAAAAAGAAACTTTGTCAGTTGATTTCTTTAGTTCAAGTCTGAAGAAAAAACGGGAATCCTACCTTGGCTGGGGTGTGCCACAGAGGAGGGGGCTGCATGGGAAAGTACGTGTTCCAAGCATAAGACACCTAAGTGACCTTCCATGACATGTTCCACACCTAATGTTGCTTGAATCCTCTGTTGCAGAGATTGAAAGTTAAGCCAGAAAGAGTCTGGCAGTGCATCACTGAACATGGTTCTCATAAGTACAGGAGTAGCATCCTCAAATTTCTGCTCTAGTACTTTCCATATGAACCATAATTTACCACCCTGACACACTGTGAAGAGTGGAATATAAAAGTGCGTGTGTGTGCATGCGTGAGAAAGAGAGAAAGTTCACTCACTGGTTAAGTTGTACTTGGAATGGAGGTTCCTCCGCACATAATAAAGGATAGCGGGCACCTTCCAGCTCATATCAAACTGAACAGCCTCACACTGCAAATCCGAAAGTAAACACCAAATAAACAAACAAACAAACTTGGGAGGAACATGAGCATTTGATTTGCTTGCACTTCCATTGTTGCCTTTGATTCAAAGGAGCCATGCAGGAGCAGAGCAGGTTGCAACTATACAGAACAATAATCCAGAATTCACTGATGGCATTTCTATACCACCTCTCTGGGAGGTTCACAACAATTTAATGGTGCCGCTGTGCACATTTTTTTGGCCTTGGATGCAGGTGGCCAAGATGGTGCGGCATGGATGCACGCCACAGCCCAGACCTGGTGGGTTTGTGCAGAAGACAGTGATGCCACCCTTCCTACACATGCTTAGTTCCTTAGGTCTAGGTAGGGTCAAGCCTGCAATTTGCAAAGAAGGTGTTGCAAGAGCCTCATCATCGGGCAGGTGAGGCTTGGGAGTATCAGCTCGGCACATGGCACCTGCAAACTTGACATTTTCTGGTACCTACTTTTCTAGAGCACATGTCTCACCCTTATGTTAAATCTCTGTGTTATGGTTAAATGGTCACTGCAAGTGCAGAAAAATACACATTTTTATGCCCTCACTGACATCCTTGAAAAGGATTATTTATTGGTTTTTATTTTAATGCATATTGTTTTTAATTAATCCAGCACAAGATCTGATTCCTTGCCTAGACTGGTTTTTCGGCGCCAGGTAAAGACCTTTTTATTTAAACATCATT